GACAATTATATATTTTTTTTTCCATGTAAATTTTTTATTGACATTTTTAGCAAACAACAGAAAAAAAAAATAACAAAACAACAATAAAAAGGACAATTATAATAACAAAAGTCTATAAGTAAGGGCTCCGGTGTGTAAGAAAGTAGGCCGAGAGCAGAGAGGATTCCATTCCAGTATCTCTCTTGCTAAGTTCTAAACATTATTTCCGGATGTAGACTAATCCCATCATTATTACTACTTGCATACAGACGTTTGTTATACCTCACATTGAAGTTCCTGACGCAATGGAATTTTATTTGTTCTGTTGAAATATTGTGTCAGAAGTTGGTTACTGCTTGTACACGCACGCATTCACACACACACTAATTATTTTCTAATTATATTAATAATCCTGTTTGGTTGGATCTAATTCACAAAATGAGGCTTGCCAGGCACGCACTGTACCTGGGTTGCACGGGACCTGGGGAAGAAAAGTATTTTGTCGCCTCCACCCCAAACTTTTGAAGTTATTTTTTGTGTCTGTATGTCTGTCTGTATATCTGTATGTCTGTATGTATGTCTGCCAGTATCAATGTATGTCTGTATGTCATTATGTATGTCTGTCTGTATGTATATATGTATGCATGTATGTCTGTATGTATGTATATATGAATGTATTTATGCCAGTATCAATGTATGTATATATGTATGTCTGCATGTCATTATGTATGTATGTCTATATGTCAGTATGAATGTATGTCTGCATATCATTATGAACGTATGTCTGTGTGTATGTGTGTATGGAAGTCTGTATGCATGTATGTCAATATGTCTGTATATATGCACGTATGTCATTCTGAATGTATGTATGTATGTATGTCTGTATGCCATTATGAATGTGTGTGTATGGATGTCAGTGTATGTATGTATGTATGTGTGTATGTATGTCGGTGTCTGTATGTATGTGTCTTTATGTCCTCATGCATGTGTGTCTGTATGTATGTTAGTATGTGTCTGTCTGTCACTATGTATGCCTATGTGTCTGTATATGTGTGTATGTCTCAGTATGTGTGTGTCAGTATGTATGCCTGTATGCGTGTATGTCTGTTTCAGTATGTGTCTGTAAGTATGTATCTGTGTCCTTTTGTACAGTGTGTGTGTTTGTGTCTGTGTGTGTATTCCTGTGGGCGGTATTTGGAGGCAGACCCTTTGGGCGGTATTTGGAGGTGGGCCCCAGGGGGCCCAGACCCTGAGCTGAGTTAGGGGCCCCAAAATTTCTGGTGGCGGCCCTGCACACACTGCATTCACTACACAAACAGACATTGCATTAATTACTCATACTGCATAACATAATAGATGTTGTGTGCTTTTGAAGCGGGGGGGAGAGGTTGGGGGCAGCATTTCATCCTTGGACCCAGGCAGCACAATGTCTTGGGCCAGCCCTGTCATATACACACACACATGCACACAGACTCACATACACAGTCCCATACAGACACACATTCATATACATACAATCAGACTCTCTCACAAACGCATTTAATTTTTATTTATTTATATTTTTCTATACAGTCCAGCAAGCCTTTCTTTGCTCATCTTGAAAGGGAGCTGTAGTAGAGCTTCATCCCTGAGGTCCAGTGGTTTATTGTTGAGATTCCTCTACAATGATTGCTCAGCAAAAAGTAGCTCTGTACTGATGCCAGGACTGGGGTCATCACAAAGCATCAAAGCTCAAAGCATCAGCAAAAGGTGCCTAAGTAAGTTGGTCAAACTGCACAGAGAAATCTCAGGAACACTCTGCTGCCACAGTGGCAGAGTAGGTGCCTGCAGTTTCCTGATCTAGTAAAAAGAGGGGGTTCTATGCACTCCTCGGCTGCCTGACCCCATTCCACCCCCCAGTTATCATGCCAGTGAAGAATATCTTCATGTGTGCCCACATGATGGTTAAGCCCACTTCAGACAGTGCTTGAGTCTCCAAAATCCCCACTCCCTGAAGCCATGCTCTTGCAAACCACGATCCACATCCATTACAATAACATAAAAGGAGGTGGTAATCCCATCTATATTTTACTTACTATGTATGCTGCCCATGCAATGAATATTCTCCTTTCACTCCCCACACTCTTTGTATTTACTAATGGACTACAATGCCTCCTCAATTGATATCACTCCTGCCCATCCCTAGTACAAACCCCCTGTTCCCCAATACAGTTCACCTAATGTATCCCCCATTGCATGTGTCGTCAATGCATTCTCTCGAATTTCCCATTCTCCCAGAAAATCCTCCAATATGGTCCTGTCCCCAGTCCCATATTACCCAACTGATGTGCCTCAAGCCAATTTCACAGGTATTTTTACCCTGACTCATGACTTTCCTACTATAAGCTGTTTTTACCATGACACCTAACCACTATGGCTCTCTTCCCATGACCTTCATGTTCCCTTCTTTTCACACGTCTGTCATGTCCTTCCCTACCCCATTGTTCTTACACTCTGCTCTCATTTCCCCATGTGACTGTCCCACCCCTTTCCAGGCTGTCTGTCTCCCTGCCTTTCCCTATTAATTGTTTTTCTCTTCATGCCACACTGATCTTGTGGATCTCTTCATTAACCCGCCATGGCATCTTCTGACACTATCTCACTTCCCATAATTGTATAACCTTTTATCTATCCCAATATCCTTTCCTAGCTAGAGAGGAGTGGTAGCAGAATGTCACCCTGACCCTCCTCTAAGTGTCACCTAGGATCACTGGACTTTTCCGGATTCCTCTAGGGGAGACTTTGAGGCATTTTTGTTAGGTTATTGAAACTCTGAAAGTTGAAGGAGTGGTGACCATAAATCTCCCATTGTATAATAAAACACTCATTAGCTCTCTGTTAGAATCTCAGTTCCTCTATTCAGAACATATTTTACCATTTCACTAAAATTCTGGGTTAACTTGTATTGATCTTTACTTCAGTCATTGCATCTAAATGCGTTTACACCCAAAGAAGCTGTAGTTTCATTATATGTGTTAAGACCTTTCTTATCGATTCTAGAAAGATTTTTTAAGAATAAATGGTATTACTCTGAGAATACGATCTCCTTATGCTATATGCATGGTACTGAATATATATACACCCTGGTAAATTTAGGTTAGTCAGCAAAGTCAATTTCTGTAACTTACCTTCAATATAGTGTTACTATCAATAACCTGCCAACACGCTACTATTCCCAGTTAAGGGAGAAGATGCCGCCTTCTGTTTGTGTTCATTACATTTCTTTATTGCGGAAACTTAATGAATTTGGCATTCATAGAACAGGCAGTCATCCTGTTTAACATGCCTTTCATTCTGATTATCGCCTAAATATAAACACCAAACTCAGAATTATGTTCATGCCGAAGGCTAGAATCTACCACAATGCTCTACCTTTCACAGATGTTTATCTTCAAAAGGATCTGCTAAAACCGGGTACTCGGGTAGCAGACATATTCAAAAAATAGAAACGTATGCTATATATATATATATATATATATATATACTATCATAAAATACATAGATTTCTGTGCTACTTATTACGTGACCTTAAAAAGTGCTTTTTTTTCATCCAATTTGAGCAGACTCTATTTGTCAGAACACACTGTCTTCAGTGATTTCTAAGCAATCTAGCTTGGCCTAATAATCCTGTCTTTTGGTTATTTAGCCAACTATAGTTAGCTTTTTCCACCCATTAGCTCTCTGGCCTGATAAACAGAACATGGTAACTGGTCAAGCAGAGCGCTAATAGAAAGGTCAACAACTTTGTGCTTCCTGAACATGCTGTTGCCATAATGCTAATTATGATAATACCATGGAAAACCTAATGACTAGAACAGCTGTGATAAACCTCTAATGCATTTTTACTACTATGTATTTTTGACAATTACATTTGCCCTAGTGGAAAAATCTTCCATTCGCACTCATGTCTGTTTTTAGGGACAGGGGACTGATTTCTTGACCTTTTGGGTGTCAGGAGAGAGCACAAAATATTTCAGAAATTGTCAATAATGATTTAGTGAAACTCTGGCCCAGTACCTTTTTTAAAAGACTGTTTTATTTATTTTTAAAATAGAAAAAAATATATATTATCTTTAGGTGTGTTAGATACATATAAGTGAATACCTCTTTCTAATGTTCTCCATGCTAGCTATTGTTCTTTGGGGGCGGCCATATTTAAGTCCTCTTGCTTGGAGGTACCATATATCTGTCAACACAGCGTTCCACTCGGAATCAAGTCTAAGAACCCGGAAGTGACATCAGCTTACCCACGCGGCCGGAAGGCGGAAACACATGCAAATGAAGGAATGGAACGCACGAACGCGTTCCACGATGGAATTACCCGTAAACTGCAATTAAAACAAGTATTTATAATGGAAATGGACTGGACATAAGACTAGAGAGCCAACTGAGGAAGCCACAACAGGCGAAACGCGTATTGGCTTATTGATATTTTATCCTTTTATATTCTATATAGCTTTTTATGTATATTTTTCAATAAATCTATTTTTTATCATCCTATCCTTTGGATCCCCTCCTACATATTGGAAACATCTCTACCAGCCACAGAAGGGCTAGGATCACCCTGGAATAGATCCTGAAGCCATCTATACCAGAGCCAGGTTCTATTGGCTCTGATTTTGTGAGTGTTTCCTTGCACATATGGTTCTTTAAATATTTATTGTTAAATTGTCTGCACTATTTTGTGTATCTCTCTATCTCCACAGTATTATATTGAGAAGAGGAGAGAAAAGTATATGCTCCATCCATTGTGTTTGCATCTGTCAACACTGTATGATTTAAATGGCTGACACTAGATAGAGAACATTTTTGAGATTCTGGTCACTTTCCCATCTGGATTGCACTGTTTCTGGTGAACATTAAAAAAAACTTCTGGTAGGTATGTATTTAATATAAGCATCACTTTGTTAAAATCAGAAGCAAATATGTAGATTAAAACAAAAACTTACTTGTGTGACGGAACGCCATCACTGAGTACCATGCCTACATGTGCCCACTCGCCTGCCTGCCTGCCTTTTGTTTTCAGGTCGGGGATATTTAACATTGTATTGTTTGTCGGGTCCCCTTGTTCGCAAATCATGTTTAGGCTTGGTTGGAAGAGTGTGCTTGTCCCATTCTAGATATGGTAAAACTGAGGCTTGCGCATTAGTCTGTGGATAGGTATTGGTGCCTCTTTTAGATGTGATATTGGAAACAGTGGCGTACATACGGGGGTCGAAGGGGTCGCGGCAGAGACCGGGCCTGGCCCACCAGGGGGCCCGGCCGCCCTGCGACCTGGTATGCCCGCCAGTGTGGCCAGCCTCTTCTCCTGGGGGGCCCAGGAGCTGGTCACCTCAGGGCACTCCCCCCGAGGCTGGCCCTGGTGTCACCTGGCGGCCGATTCTGCGGGCGCGCGAGGGAGTACTCTATCCTGAGCGCTCTCTGCCCAGCTCCCTCGCACGCCGCGTACTGATGCCAGAGCTGTAATATGATGTCATATTCCGGCTCCGGCATAAGTACTAAGTAAAGTCTGCTTTTGGATACCATTTTGTCTGCTTCTCCAAATTTCGAAACCAGAATGCAGTAAAAATTCTTGCATATCCAGATCACCAGATCTAAACATCACTGACCCTTTTTAGGAAGAGCAGAGTGCAATGTATGGGGTCCAGTGGTGCTGCTTGGTGGCCGGTCACCGGGCTAGCTGTTTGGCTGGCAGGCGCGCGAGGGAGCACTCTCCCCTGAGCGCTCTCTGCCAGCTCCCTCACGCGCTGCATACTCTGTCATCAGAGGTTAAATGAAATTTTAATGATACCAAAATATTACTCATTTATTTAATAAATGGGCTGCTGTCTGATAGATTGGTAGAATAAACCATCACTTTTATAAGCTATTCCGAAATTATTGGAATACATCAAAGAGTTATGTTTGACTAGCTTATCACCTATGGCTAAGTGCCTCATATCATCATAATTATGATGTTTGGAGTGCTATAATAAATTTTGAAGCATCTGACCTTCTGCACAGAATTATTATGAATTGCTCTTGCATACACATAGTTCCTCTTTTTGTTGTTTTTACACTTATGAATGATACAGTCCGCTATAGACTAGTGTCAAGCCTCAAGCACCATGACATTAGTAACAGTGTATGCAGCACATTTCATTACAACATACATGTGGGAATTTATTTTATAAAATAAGGAGAATATTAAATAAAAACAGCCACTAGACGAGTCAGTTCTATTGATAAAAAAAAAAACTAAGACATAGATAAACTATTTTTATATGTAAAAAACTGAATGCATATAATACAAACTTAAAAAATAGAGCGATAACATTTCTTACATGGGGCATGGCCTGACCGCACAACTGAGTAGACGTGAATTCCATCGGCTCTTGCATCTTACGGTAATTATTGCATATTATTTGCAGCTAAAAGCGGATAATCAAAGTATCTAGCCCACACAGTGAAAGTGGACAACTCGGTGTCCGTGGAGATACCATTTAAGCTGTTATTCCTGCAGAAATCGCCTGATTACGAAATGCGGCCTACTGTTTACATTTCGTTCTTACATTACCCAGCATGGCCTACAAAGTGTTTGGAATCTTCATTTTGTGTCTGCGGAGATCGGTATAACATAACAAAATCAGAAATCAAAAAGGCTATAACACTATTACAAAGAAATATTACAAAAAAATACAAAAACAAACAAACAAGCACTCACTACAAGAATCCAGCTTCTCAGTCGAAAAAGATTATGTTACGGGCTATACAGACAAGTTTATCGGTCATAAGTGTTTAAGTTCTAGACTCTAGACAACACTCTTCTTGCGCTCATTGGGAGCTTTAGTCAAACTAAGATCAGGCAGATTTTTCTTTGCTTGTATTGATATACTTTTGAAAACATGATGGACACTGAATATGATTTGTTGCTAAAGTAAAGAATAACACAGCTCAAAGACATAAAGGGATGCCTAGCAACGATTTCTAGTGCTCGAATCCAGGAGGACCTTTGGGTGGTGGGGCCTGACACTCGACCAGGACAGACGCATGGTGCCAGGGCTCCTCACAGAAATCCTCTTATTAAGCCCTAAATTGGATTTTGTTGCTCTCTTTTCAGCTACAATCGTGACTCCATCCCTGGGGAACACTCTCCTGATATTTTTACACATTTCTAGTCAGAGAGTTGAGGCCTAAAATCCAAAATGGCCACCCTGCCAGAGCTTGCAATTATTAGCACCTCCCTGGAGTCACCAACACGTGTGAAACCGCTACTCGTGACGTTCGACGGCACCTGTGCCCTGTTTTTGGCAAACGTCTGTGAGAGTGGGTTTACCTCTGCTCCTGAAGACCTAATTTAGGCTCCTCAGAGGCATCTGGTTCCTCGGTGACGGGTGTATGAGCATCCCCCATGTATTTCCAGGACGATGTGGCACAGGAAGAGACACAAAAAGCTGCTGCCATGGCTGACAGCGGCACTCCACCTGAAGCTGTATGCTAGACGCCACTCACCTCGTTCGCAAGAAGCTAAGCTCCTTTGCTGACCAGCTGGAGAGTTGAGGCCTAAAAGCCAAAACAGCCAGCCTGCCGGGGCCTGCCATTATGAACACTTTCCTGGAGTCAACACATGTGAAACCACATGTAAGCTGTAAGCCATAATCATAACACTTATGACAAATCACGGCTTGAACTATCTTGCTTTGCATGTAATGCGTCTAGCTCATATATTAGTTTCCCCTTTTACGTTGCATTACTGAAATAAATTAACTTTTGCACGATATTCTAATTTTTCAAGTATCACCTGTACACATATAACAACGTTTTTGTAATGTGTATTTCGTAAAGCTGGTGTGTGCTATTCCTGCACACAACCCCATACTGTGTTCAGCTACATCTGCTGATTTATGATACCCCCATTGGCACTATTCTGTAAAGCTGCAATGCCATATAAGAGACAAGGCTATTTCAGTTTCTATAGTTAGAATTTTCGTAGATGGATTTGACGGGCCTATGTCTCATTTTAGGATATTATAGGGTATTTCATTTGATATTTGATTTCAGACTGAGTATTTCTTACACTTGATATGTACCACTGCCATAAAACCCCCCAAATTATGCTAAGTTACATCTTCTGAGTAAAACAATATGCCCAATGTATGACCTAGACACTATTTTGTGAAGTTACAGTGCTGTAATAGAGACGTGACAAGTTTAGGTTTTTAAGTGTTAATTTTCATGGATGGTTTTGATGCGTTCGTGTCCCACTTTGGAGCACTTGAGCAGGCTACATATTCCAGCTACACCATAAAGGCATACCATTTCTTAAAGAAGACATTCCAGGGTATTTCAAAAGTCATATTTTGAACCTTAGCGTGGGATCATTTTTCCGCTAGCTTGTACCAAGTGTAGTGATAATAAGCATTTTCGACACACAAAGTGAGTTTGTACAGTATATTTTGCAAACCTTATGCGTGCTACAACTGTATAATACTTCATATGTTTCTTAGCTATATTGTCTGAGTACAGCAATAACCCCATATGTACCTTTGCCAGGTATATGTGGACATTGAAGAGGCATATTTGAGACACAGTCATTTCAGGGTTTTTTCAAACTTTGAATTTGTACGCTGTGTCCATGTCCCATTTTAGAGTATTTTAATAGGCTATATAATCCAACTACTCCATAAAGGCATACCATTTATTAAAGAAGACAACCCAGGGTATTTCAAAAGGCATATTTTGAACCTCAGCATGGGATAATTTTTTCTCTAGTTTGTTCCAGGTGTAGTGTTAATAAGCATTTTTATTTTTTTTCCAATTTGACAATTTTTATTTATTTTTCAATTACGTTTTGGGGTACAGAACGGAAGAAGGGTAGGGGAAGACATCTAAAGCGTTGCAGTTTGTATCAACATTTACGTTTACAAAGCAATTTTTCTTTCGATCATGATACTGTGTGGTTTTTGTTGGGGGGTGAGGGTACAAAAGAGAAGAGAGAAGGGAGAGGGTGGGGGTTGGAGGGGTTAATGCTGCATAGCATCGTATTTCTCATTATCTGCTTCCCACCCTTGCTGGGTATTCCGTGGATTCAATGTTGATGTCACGGTGGAAGGCATAAGAAGGTTACCTCCTCCATGAGGTGGCTTGATGGTAAAGAGTGCTATGCCTCCCATGTAGAAGCAACTTTTTGGTTACCTCTGTGCCCTGCGTTGTGATAGGTGAAGGGAGAAGGGATATAGATGGATGGGGAGGTGGGGTTATAACTTATGTACACAAGTGGGTACTGTTGCGTATCTTTGTACTTTCATCTACTTGGAATGATTTATCGGTTTTGGGTGATTGTCTTGCCCGTTAGATGGGCACTCAGTATTGCGGGGTTCACCTTATCCTTTGCTTCTTCCCCCTAGACCTCTGTTCACTCCTGGCAGCCGCTATGCAGTATTATCTTACTAGTTGTAACGGATCACCTGGCACCCCGACTGGGTACCTCCGTTGAAGGATGCTCCTAGCGCTTCCTGACGACTCCAAGCACTGTAGCAGACACCACAACCATCGAACTGGAGAAGCATGTGTGCCTTCTATTAATGAATCATACACCATTGAGAAGGTTTTTTTTGTGTGGCATTCCTCTGAGACACCACATGTCAAATATTGAGAGTGTGGGTGCTCGGAGATGGGCCGTGGTCTGTTGCAAGAGGGATTTGAGCTGTAGATACGAGAAGAGTGCTCTGTTTGGTAAATTGAACTGTGTTTGTAGGTCCGGGAATTGTTTCAGGGAGGTCCCATTGTATAGGTGGTATATGTGTGTCAAATGTCTGGTTTCTCAGGTATATGCTGTACATTGTTGTGGCTAATGATGTTGCCAATGGACCGCTAAGGTGTGTCCCAAGTGTGCATCAACAGCATATTTGTCTCTCGCATGTGAGTTGTTTCAGGCCTCTGGATTTTTGGTACCCAGAATAGGAGATATAGGTTAATGAGCATTTTTAAATGTATTTTTTTACTTTTTACACATTTAACATTTTTATAAACTTTTTTTTTACCTTTAACCCCTAACTAGCAGTAAGCAGTACTAACAGTAAATTCCCAAATTTCCCATAAAACCCACCCACCCCAGCTAACAAAATAGATCATTTTAATATATTTAAATTAATTAATAAAATAAATTTAACCCCCGAGGATTACAAAAAATCTAAGTTGACCCTTAGGGGTTAAAAAAAAAAATCAGATCACAGTAAAATGTAGTCCCTGCCAATTGATCACTGTAGTGCGTGATCAATTGGCAGGGAAGGGGTTAATTTTTATTTAAAATGGTAAAGGGGGGCGGATGTTAAACTGACTATTTATTTTACACAGGGAGAAGATCACTGCTGATCCGT